ATATTAACCGCGTCAATTCCTTTGTTGGCATATTGAAGTTTAAGGAAAAAACGGATTGTTTTAGCTGCATTTTCTTCAGTAAAACGCGGGGGTTTAAAAAGCCTATGATTGGCAATATCCATAACTACAGATCCGAGCCTATATTCTGGTGTCGAGGAATCAAAAAATGGACTTTCCTTGACCTTTTCAAGAAGACTATTTAAAAGTTTCAAAGGGACAGAGTAAAGTTTGGTGCGAATATGATGTAGACCTAACTGTTGATTTACGTAAGGTAGTAATGAATCAAAAGAGACATCGTGTATTAAAGGTTTATTGTAAGACCTATGCCCACGACTACGCTTACGTCTCTGTGTATGGTTAAAAAGTCCCATCACATTTACATTGTTACACTGTGGACTGGAAAGATTTCCAACACTATCTACATTGTCATTACATCCATAGGGAAAGGCTGTCCCTAGCTTTCTTATCCAAAATTCTTCTCGTTGTCTACGTAAAGGTATCTATAAGCCCTACCTGGACCAAACTTGCATGGATGATGCATCTAGTGATGGACATTACCAGACTTGCTTCGGATGCTGGATCTGACCTACATTTTCCAGATGAGTGACCAGGTTAAAGTTTTTGGAGCAGGTCCATTCCCAAGTAACTATAAGCCCTACCTGGACCAAACTTGCATGAATGATGCATTTAGCGACGGACACTACCAGACTTGCTTCGGATGCTGGATCTGACCTACATTTTCCAGATGAGTGACCATGTCAATGTTTTTGCAGTAGGTATATAATTATGTGGCCTGTTATGATGAACTTGCATGAATGATGCATCTAAGGATGGACAATTCCGGACTTGCTTCGGATGAAAGACATTATCCTGATAAGTAAACAGATTAAAAGTTTTGGGAACAGGCCAATTCCCAATGAACTATAAGACCTACTTACACAGAACTTGCATGAATATTGTTTTCAGGATGCACATTAACTATAAAGAAAATATGATGTGAGATTTGCATTACTTATATTAACATTCGTCGAGGTGAGCTTCGTAATCTTTGATTACCTATGTTTGATGAATAGTGTTGCCATGGTAACTAAAAATAGAAATTTCTGTGAAATTCCTTGAAAACGCTATTCCTCCTACAATTTTTGTCAGATTTCATAATCGTATAGGAGAAGAAATCTGCTGATGAAGAACAACAGGGCCATATTGACCTTGGTGAGCGTTGTGGCCCATGGGCCTCGTGTTTAAAAAACACATTTTCTCCTTTTCCATGACATCTAAGGTCAACCTAATTCTACCGGACTTACTTTAAAATATCCCTTTTATTTTAGAAAAAAAATACATGTTGTATAACGAAATATGTTTTTTCTTCATATTCGAAGACAAAGCGCGATGATCTGTTTCCCGTCCTCTGTCCGTAAACTATCTCCCCAAAATGCTATATTCCTCCTACAGTTTTTGTCACGTATACTACTTGTAGTATAGGTAGACTACACAGAAATACTCTATATGGGTTTGGCACATTAGAAGACTAGATTAGGACTAGATTCTGGTAATGAATTGTATGACACATTAAGTAAATTACCATAAGATACATAACTTTGAATATCGGTGTTAGATGCCGACAAACGATGTTGTCACAATAGTCGCTTTTCTTTACGTTTTGTTCTAAATGCAATAAAACTTTATACACACTATTCTAATCTACAATAAAATGTGTTACACAACATAAAATTAGAAAATTCTGTGCATTTCTTTTAAAATATTGTTCCGTTTACTGGCTTGGTCCGATTTCATCGAAACTTTGAACAAATATATCCTGTACCAGTGCTCATATTGCTTTATACTGATACTAAATTTTAATAAATCTCATTCTGATACATAAAAAGACTAAACCAAAGCTCATTATTCTAGTTACTACAATCGATAAAATGGATAATAGACCACTGCGGCTCTGTACAGTTTCGCTGAAAAAGGAGTCTAACATATTGAAGGATCATTACACATGTATATACGAAGTACATATAAATTTTATGAATTGTAGCTTCAATTTGAGATCAGTGCTGTAATTAAGGTAAGTGTTTGCGCTTAAAGTCCTTTCCATTGTTACATTATGGGACTCGTTATGCCCGCGTAATCGAAGATTCGGGGGCATGTAGTTTGTTGTCTGTCCTTCTGTCCACAGAAACTTTAAACTTGGCCATAACATTTGAACGGTTGGTAGTAAGACTTTCATATTCCATATGTGTATTCCTTGTGATAAGACCTTTCTTATGGTACCGACGCTTTTGACCTCATGACGTTGGAGTTTGGCCTACTTTTGTAAAACTTTAACCTTGTTCATGCCTTTAGATGGTTTATGGTCGGGTTTTTATATGTTACATGGGTATTCCTTGTGACAATACCTTTCTTTGGGTACCCATTTTTTACATCTTGACATTGATCGCAGAGTTTGACCTACTTCTGAATAAACTTAAACTTTGCCATAATTTCTGAACGGTTGAGACGAGAGCTTTAATATTTCACATGTGTATTCCTTATGACAAGGCATTTCACCAACACTTTAGATCTTGTCCTTAGTGTGTTGAAATATATTAAAATACTTTAAAACTTTAAACGTGGCCATAACTTTTGAACTATTGGTATGAGGGCTTTCATTTTGCATTTGTATATGCCTTGTGACAAGATTCATGTATTACACTGTATGACTGAATCCTCTATTTACATCTGCTTTCGGAAATATTTCTTCTTATTACCCCCAGGAATTAAAATGATATGAATGTAGAGGATAACAAGTCTTCAAGGTATCCCCTATCGACCGGTCACACCCGCCGTGTGCTCATTGACATTATCGGGTAAAAGGAAAAATCCGGAGAGAATTCAGTGTTTAAATAGTGGGATAACAATTAGTATGAAAAACGTCAGTTAGCATTCGACTTAATGATAAATTGTGTTTGCCGACAAGGCTTAAACAGGGGTTGAAATATACGGTAGCCCGACGCCCGGGGCTAGTCGTTTTAAGGCTCGGGCTAGCTAACTTAAATGTAACGATAGTTCGTCGGACTAGCAGAATGGAAAAAAAAATATTGCTATATAATATTACTTTCGCTTTTCTACGTAGACTGGTTTCTTTTGCAGTCATTACCAAAACCCACAGGTTTAAGGCCAGTAAAGTTGAAAATCAACTCAGTTCTGCAGGATTTTTTTTAATTAGGAGTGCTACATGACTTATTTATTCCATAGTCTATGTTTATTCCTAAAAATGATCGTCTTTTTTCTTAATCCGAATTTCCTCCATACCTCTGTTCATACGAAATGAAGATATGCCATTACATTATTTTCATTTACTCAATCAACTTAAGTGTAAGTGTTATATTAGTTATTTTAGATACAAAAATATATTTACACTTGCATTTAAAATATTTAATACAAAAGGAAAAATTAAAAAAAAACTGATAAAGTGGACGTGTCAATCCACTTCAGACTCAATTCATTGACTGACAGTCCAACGGACCCGTGACGCAAAATGTTTTGGTAAAGACTGCTTTTGATTGAGAACTAGTTTAATTTGTTTCTGTCGCCATAGCGTTTGAAACTTTAATTTATGCTTCAAAAATTGTCGGGCTAGTTAGTTTGAGGTTTGGGCTAGTAATTTTTTACTGATCAGTAGCCCCTGGGCTAGTGGGTTTTTCAGGAAAATTTCAACCCCTGTTAAATCTTGTTGTCTTGTATATTGTTATTAGTTTAAACTACAACGTACTCCGGTACTAGTATTCAAGAAGTGGTAGAAACAATGCAAATGTGTGGATCCTCAAAAACTAAAAGGATCTTTTGCTTAATACAACTATTTTTGAAATCGCATAAACAAGTGCTTTTCTACAAAAAAAGGTACTCAGAAATAGTCATAACTTGTGATTGGCCATCAACAAAATCATTTTGTTGACCGTCTCTTCTATTCTTCAGAGGGAGATTTTTAGGGTCCTGCATTAAATGTGGAGCCATTTAGTAATCACATTGTTTGTCTTTGCGTCAACACTTTTGTTGTGCGGCGATTACTCAAATATTTTTAAATTCATTATTTTAAATATTACATAAAAGTACTTTTGTATGAAAAACCACATATTTTGGGTCATATCAAGTTGTCTGTCTGTCTGAATGTTTGTCTATGAACTCTAGTTGTTAAGCCATGACTCGTTTTTCAACGTATAACTTTCAAATTCTTTACAGAGATCATTACTGCAAGAACAAGACATCTATACCTTTTCGGTCATATCATTTTGCCTGTCTGTGTGTATGTATCTTAATGCATGTCAATGACAACTTTTTGTTGTGACGAGATAACTCAGTTTCAGCAGGATCATACTACTTTGTCTGTAAATCAATCTGGACACACAAATTCCAACAGTTTTCACCATAACTACTTCAAACTTAATACAGAAAGAGTCGACCAAAAGAATAAGACATTTATGCGTCCATCCTTACGTTCGTCATTTAATACTTTTATTGTGACGCTATAAAGCACTTGAACGTACAGCTCAGGTAAGCTAAAAACTCTTGCTTTGGTTTTTAATTTCATTTCGATATATGAAAGCTTTTTAACTAAATAATAAGTTATTTCCATTCATATGTCGATTCGTAATATCCCAGTAATTTTGAAGTAAAAGACGTCCACAGAGACTGTCACAGCTGATTCAAACTTTGATTTTTTACCTATAATAGACGTTAATGGCCAATTAAAAACTAAACTACATGACAAAGGCGAGGACTTTAATTTTTCCATCGTCAGCATCTTACACATATGTAGTATTATTCAAATATAACCTATGTATGGTGTTTATGTTTCCCAACTAAATTTGTATGCAAGAGTATGTTCTTTGTTTAACCGGGGCAGGCTACTGACAAATAAGTTGATGTTACTGGCTTTTCATCTATTTTTCATAAAGGCTGCAAAGATTGAGTCGATACTTGTAGACTCCTTTTAAATTATTCAGAATTCCGTAATATAATTTTCAATCAATTCTTTTTCTATTACCAAACAATTACATACATTCATTATTATTCAACAACAATAGGCTAGGCTGATATCCCACATACAAGAAGTTTTTCATCGTGTCGATTTGATATCTGTCTTTATATCATTGTGTGAGTCTCTTTATCCTTTTTATGGACAGAGATATATATATCAGTCATACAAAACTAAGATTTAAATTTTATTTTAAGTACGTTCATCCATATTAGATGCGTCATTTTCTTCAGCTTCCATTTCGACTAAATCCAATTTATGCGGATGTATCATATTTGTGTAGCACTTTCTACAAATATCGAAATCGGGGCACATATTACAGTGATACCTTAGATCGGTTATTAATTCATCACATTCATCACAAACAAAGTCGTCTTCAAATTCATCATAGAAATCATCATCATCATCATCATCAGATGAAGACTGGTTAAATCTCCCAAAATCGTCCATACCCATTCTCAGCAAAAGTTTGAGTTCTTCCATGTCCTTATAATCTTCAGAGTATCCATACTCTTTAAGGTTTTCTGTTTCCAGAATTTCCAAACTCGTTATCACTTCTACCATATTTCCCCAATTCATACCAGTGTTTGCTAAGTTAGCAATGCCATCCAGAAGACCAGATTTTGATGCAATAAGAAGTTGTTTAGGGTCCGCTCTACTGCATATGTAGGTCCGGGTGATATTATACGGATGAAAAACCAGCGAGGATTGGATGTAGCTGGATATCAATTTCGTCAATTCTGATTTGAAAGATTGTCTGAGTTCTGATTCTAAGGTAGCAATTGTTTCACTGTCCAAGCAATGTTTAAAGCTATCTGTGTCTTTTTTCAATCCATAAACTGCACTTTTAACCATTGCTTCGATAGCATATTTCAATGTTGAGATGCATGTATTACGAAGTCTTTTTCCTAAAGAAGTCCTGCATTTGTGCGGTGGTAGGTAAAGTAATGAATCGTTCTCTATCCATACCACTCTTGATTGAAATATGGCAGTTTGAACTCTCATTCCAGCAAAGAAAAGCAAAGATTGATCAATATCTTTAAACAAATTATTGTTTGGAAGAATATAATGAGGACAGTTTTGTGTGAAAAGATTATACTGTAACCTCTGAAGAAGTCCTCTTACTCTAGCTATCATTAATGTTTCTGTCCAATCCCTCAAGGGCACCTGTTCGCATTCCCACAGAAATACATTTTTCAGATGGTATGATTGCAGTGCCTTTCCGATAGGTGGGCAAAGAAACTGTCTCCAGATTGCCTTAAATAACAAGTAACACATCCTCTGAGTTTCTGTGAGACTAAGCATTAGCTCTCGTTCAATCAAACAGAAAGAAAGTCTCCATTCAAGGAAAATTTTGGAATCTTTTGGGTATTTTGGTACGATGAGGCAACCCATGGAAGTAAGACGTTCAACAAAATCTGACGAAGGAAAACCGGAAATTCTTTTCCTGTTTTTGAATTCGTTTGCTACAGAAGGCCATTCTGAACAAATTATAACTGGTGAACAATCATACTGCAATGAAATATCACTCTCAGTAAACAATAAAGTTGTTTTAACTGCTGGTCCCTCCTGATTCACGATAAAAAATGTAAAGTGATCCGAACTCTTTTCGATTTTCTCCTCTTCATCAGTTTCCATTTCAGCACCCAAGACTTTGTCAGAGTGCTTGCAGTAGCCTGAATAGTGAAAGTTTTCTATACTACATCTTAGACAAAGCATCATAAAGAACTCGTCTGTAAAGGCCTCTGGTGAAAGATAAAACTCGTTAATGGACCCGTCTTGACTGGATACAATGTTACAAAGTCCACACCAGTTGTCGCTTTCATCTCTCATGTGAACTTTCAATTGAACGAACCCTGGATTCTCTTTGCAGAATTCTACCTCTAACCACGTCCTGTCAGTGGTTGCTAGCTTTGATTCTGTCGCAGTAATAGTCCTCAAAATGGCGGTTAGATCCAACTCTTCATTATGATTACCCTCGGAAACTTCACTTATAGAGAGTCCTTCGCTTGTGCTTCCTATGAATTCCAAGTCTAATTTAGAAAAACAAGGATGAACTTGCACTTTAAATGGAAGGTCGTGAAACATCCATCCCTCCGGAGTCGTCACCATTTTTCTTAATTGTTCTTTTAGATACTTAAACTTTGCGGGTGGGACTGAGAGTTCCCTTAATTTTCCTAAAAGTTCATCATTTATTCTTGAATCATTTGCTTTCTGAAAGTACCTGGTTGTCGTTGCACTACAGTATCTGATATCCATTTCTAACCTGTGTATTAATTATTCAAAAGTTATGATTTTATCTACTTTCACTTTTACATAATGAAAATTTCATAATACTATACATGTATTTAAAACGAGTAATAAAGGAATTTTTTGCTATCTCTTTCAGTTTACAAATGTAAATTCTGTTCTATATATCTATTCAGGAGATTTGGGGACATTAATATTAACATAATTACCTTCTTTAAATAGCGTAATCCGGAAATCATATACTTTAAAATATTAGACCAGTGCGAGCTTGCAAAAATCAGAGTTATTCCTCTTTTCAATACTTCATCTTTGTTTAACTGAGCAGATTTAAAAATTAAAAAAATAATAACAAAAAGTTAAAAAATCTGGGTCAAGGAAATGTGGATGGTGGACTTCTTACATTTGCAAGTCTTAATCTTTCACACACATGCACGCACATCTTCACTAGCCAAGGGCTTCTGATACGCTACTCTCCTCATAAACCCTTGGCATACGGTGTTAAAAAAGTTAGGATTTTTTTGTAAATGACGATATTTGCGTTCGGGATATATCTTGACTCTTTAATATCGGTAATGTAAAACGCAAGTAAACAATGATCCGTAAGATAACATGCCATTCTATGAATAGCATATGGTGTCATCCAATTTCTAAAGCAACGTGCAAAATATGTGATTAAGAATCTATACTGAAGATGTAGATTTGCATTTTTACATGTTTAAATAACAAAATAACATAACTCAATACCTTCTTGTTAATTATTCTTTAAAAACAATTTTTTTTAAATACGCTTTTTATTTCTGTCGATGACGCAATCTGTGCACGGCTTATTCCCCGAACGGCTACTCGCCATAAACAACAAGTAATTATCACACTCAATTAAGGGGCCCTCTAAGGGGTACAGGTAGACTTACCTGTATGAATAATCTGCCAGAATTTTAGTTACTTTAAATAAAATAAAATAAAATAAAATGGATTTGTAATTAAGTTTTTTTTTTAATTTTAGCAGAAGTTTAAATATATATATATATTGTGTACATATTTTTTAAATAAATAATTTTACAAGCACAAAACATAGTAAAATTAAGAATTAAACAGATTTTTTTCTTTAAATTGTCTTGAAGTTTTATTGTTTAACAGCACTGTTTAACACATTTCATATTTCATTATAAATAAAAAAGCACTCTTTCACACCACACATATTTACAATATTTACAATTTATTTAGTCACAACTAAGGGATCACTATCCTAGGTGTAGTTCAGATGCAGAGTCATATATATACTGTTTTGAAGCGTGTGTTGTTGTAGTTACAGCTTGGACTGCATCATTGGGCAAGTTCAGCACATCATTTTCTTTAACACTAAGGATTATAGTTTTTCTTATTTAAAATTTCAAAGTGAACTGATCTCAATTATCATTGCTTCATCAATTAGCTTATTAACTTGGGTCTTCATTAAAAATCAAAGTGATTCTGTTTTTATCACATCAAATCTATTGATTATTAAAAAGTGTTGCATAAACTTCTGTATTTTATGATGAGTTTTTAAAAAAGGTTTCATTCAAAATGATAAATAAATGAGTTAGATAAGTCAGAAATTTATAGATAATTTGTGTATGTGTGTGTTAATTTTATGAACAAATAATTTATGATTTTTTTTAAAAATAATTATTAATAATTATATGTAAATTTTCCATCAATACTATTTAATAATTTGGAAAAAATAATATTAAAGGTACAATAAATTTTTTTATTTTAAGTACAATAATACAAAGGATCTTAATTTTATGTATTTATTTTTTTTCTTTTACACATTAGAGTTCTGAAAATAAAAAAAAATCTCTAAATTAAAATGAAATTGAATGAATTTATCTGATTTATCTTAATTTTATCTATTTTTTTTTTCTTTTATATAGTAGAATTATGAAACTGAGTGTGATAATTACTTCTTGTTTTTGGCGAGTAGCCGTTCGGGGAACACACCCTGTGCACCATGATCACGTGACAAAACAATCCCGTCTTTTGTCAGCACCGTATGCCAAGGGTTTATGAGGAGAGTAGCGTATCAGAAACCCTTGGCTAGCGAAGATGATGCACGCACACACACACAAATGTATAATGAACATGTACCTACCAAGGGCGGATCCAGGGACTGTCGTTAGAAGGATGCAAAATATTTTTGAGAGGCAAGGGGTCAGAGGGCCGCCTCTAGACCGAAACTTGGTGAAGGGCGAAGTCCTTGTGGGGATCCGGGGCGAACTTTTCAGAAATTTTCATCATCAGATTTTTCTCTTTGATTTTTAAGCTTATTTGCTCTAAACGAGCTGTAATTTGAGCATATCTACATGTCTGTCCTGGAAATGAGCAAAACTGAGCCCCCATCCCAATTTCATCGTGCAGAATTTCTGAACTCTTTATCTATCTTCTTGCGTTTGTAATGAATAATAATAATAATAATAAATAAATAAATAAATAAATAAATAAATAAATAAATAAATAAATAAATAAATAAATAATGAATAATAAATAAAAATTGCAAATATTGAGGAAATTTTAACCCCCCCCCCCAACAAAAAGACTGTTTAAAAAAATATAGTATAGTTTCAGTAGCTTCAAATTTCACATAACTATGTGAAACTTGTATTTATAAAGAAGTTCTCATTATTTTGTGTATCATTTTAGCCGAACATTTAATGTATATTTTAATCGTAATATTCTATAAACAGCAAATCTTACTAAACCGAATTCTGATATGCATCTAACTGTAAAACTGTATAGCTCTCCGGAAAAAAAAGAAGAATCGCCCGTCGTCAAGCAATGTTGATTGTTGCCAAGTTCTATCACGCCAGAGGACATGGTTGCATTAAAACAAATGGTTCTCGACGAATCAAATTCAATTTACATGAAAGTACATCAATTAATTTGATATTTTTTGAAGTACAAAATTGAGAATAAGATAGAAATGATCTTTTATTATAACAATTTATAAAAATATGTAACAAAATAACATACATAAAACAATAATACAAAGTAGACCTGTACTTTCCTGACCACATAAGGTTCAAACTGAAATAGCAAACGTTCAACATTACAGGTAAGTTCTTATACACCTTTTACACCTGTATCTTGAAAGTAGATGTTTCACATTGAATTTCCCACTACATAATCACCTTTTCTTGTTATAGTTAATCTCGCTTGATGTAAATCAGCTATACATTAGAATTCTGACGTGTCCGTCTCTTGTTCTCACAGTATATTCCACTTGCCAGACTTCCAGTAGTGTCCCAGTACTTTATGAGCTGTCCGGCGGATTTGAGCGTCGCTGTCTCTATTGAACAGTTCCAGTGACTCTGCTACCTGGGTTTCCAGGTGTGCCGGAGAGCCGTCACATAGTGTGTGAAGAACCTGCCTCCTCACCAGGGGATCCACATCATCTACCATCTCAAGGACCCGGGCCCAAAAATCACTCAAGTCCTTTTTGACCCTACAAGGACACATTTCTACAAGGGCTGTCCTTCTAACACGGGCATTTTCGTGTTTCGTTAGTTCTATTATGACATCAATATCGGTGGTTTCTTTGCATAAGCGCACAGACGTGTTGATAGGAAGTTCACTCGGGGGCGGCCTATTTTCCATTTTTTCTGAGATTTTCTTCACAAGTTTACATGTATACTTGTGTATATTTTTACGGTCACAATACCTTTACCAAAATAAGGCTTTTCTTTTGCTTTTATAATCACTGATTGTGATTTCTCAACAAACTGAAAGTTTATGTCCAATGATTGTGCAATGACAGTGCGTTCTACAATATCAATTAGAGTTATCTCTCTTTGACTTAGATGTAACACGTCATTATTTTTGCAAAAGAAGTAAACACGTAAATAAATAGCAAAAGTTTTCTTTTTAAGTCGTTTTTGGCCATTATTTTGCTATGGCTGTATACGACTTAAATGGAAACTTGTACAATTGATGAATACTTGAGCGTATTCCTTTGATAAGGGCAAAAATTAAATAACACCGATATTTCCTTTAAGGTCTGATGACACGTTCCTCAAATACATCTCTTTTTTCTCTCTTCGTAATGCATAAAAAATATTCATAATTAACATTATCTTGTCATTTCTAAACTGTTTTCAAAATGTCTTAGATAATAAAATGAAAGAAAAATTGTGACATTGGTCATGAATCAAGTAATTTCAACACCCCTCTGGTATATTGTACAAATGCCTGGTAAGGCACCTCAATTTTTTTCGAGACATATTAAAACAGCAAAAGTTCAGTTACAAATTCTTCAGAAAAATTCAATGTTATTGAGGAATGTGTCGTTTGACCTTAACGTAGATTCCAAATTAAGTAACCAGGCCTGGTGAATTATATTTATAATGAACTGAGTTGACTGTCCTTAAACTTGTATTTTAATGAAAACGTCGAAACGCAACACTAATACAATCTATACAATAAAGTATGGTTTACTGTGTCATGGGATTCAGCAGGTTTGTGCATATCGTAATATAAATGGTCCAGTGGGCTAATATCCAGGTAAATTTCATCCCTATCATTATCTAGAACAAACCACACATTCAAATATTGAAGCCGTTTTTTAAATACTTTCAATGTAAAGTTGAAATTGATTACATGAAAATGAATGTCATTTAATCATTTTCAAATTATTTCAGATTTATACTAAAAGACAGTTATTCCTATCAAACAATTTATAATGCTATGCCTACATATGTATATCAAAATTATACCCGAAGTCGAAAGTAATTCTAAAATTTCCTAAAAATAAGAAGAGTTAAACAGGAGTTTCCGGTCCTCTCTATGGCGGGTTCTCTGTTTTCCTGTATAAGTGTTATCCATTGAATAGATCCGGTGACACACATAGCGTACTCTACATTATAAGATACTAAATATTAGGTATTAGATAATGTTTGCTGCACACTGCAGAGACTTTACAAGTGTACGAGCGAGTGAAAAAAAAAATTAAAAAATGGAGAATTGTTTTCTATGGATTGAAACAAAGTACGGTCTTAATGCCAACTCTTCTATGGCAGAATTGAACAAGGTATTCCGGGATTGGAACATGGCTGCTCTTGTTCTTATCGGTGTCCTCATTCTGCCGGGAATCCTGGGAAATTCTTTAGTGGTGGCCATTTTTTATAGGGATTTTAAAAAATCGGCATACAGAACATTTGTCCTCTGGCTCGCAGTTCTGGATCTAGCTGGTTGTATTATTGTTATGCCATATCTCATGGTTAATATAATAACACCGGTAACTATGGACAACGAAATTATCTGTAAAGTTGGAAAATTTCTGTCGTACGCCATAATGATGACGTCATATTTTATTCTGGTTATAATAGCATTGGACAGGTACCGAAAAATTTGTAGACCACACTCCCTACAAATTCTTCAGTCACAAACATCAAGATATTGTTTAGGAATGTTAACTCTTTCCGTGATAATTTCAGTTCCTGCACCGATTCTTTACGGAAACAGTAGCCTCGACATCGGAATTCCCGGGTTGAAGGCCACGCGCTGCTTCACTATGGACAAGTACAAGGGTACCCCAGCACATCTTTTGTACTATGCAGTGATAAACGTGCTGGGAGCCACAGTTACCCTCATTATAACGATACTGTATGTTCAAGTCATCAGAAGAATAAGATACCAATTCCGTCAAAATAAAGAAATATCTCCAAATATTCGCAGAAATGATAAATTGACTCAGAAAGGAAGTACTTCCGAGGAGAAAATAAACCGGAAGCTGGTTAGGACCACGGTAACATTACTAGCTGTCACGATTATATTTGTTATAACAATATTCCCACATACCGTGCTTTCTCTAATTGATTATTCTGTACAGAACTTCTTCTGTCGGTTGTCTTTTGAAGAAGGTGTGGCCTACAATTTTGCTATCCATTTCTTTTTACTGAATAATGTTTTAAATTGTGTTATTTATGGGTTCACTGACAAACAGTTCAAGAGAAGAATATTGTTGCTCTTTAGAAGACAACAGTTCAACTTGTCCGAATCAAGCGATGGAAATTCTTCAAACAAAATAGAAATATAGTAACATGATTAGGACAAGGGAATAGAAACCAACAAACTGTTCCTGCATACATCGTGTCTATCTTGTGCATTTTATTATTATACTATTATTATATTTTTATCTTATGCAGCATTTTAAAAATTTCATTGAATTGCACATGTTTTTTGTCAAAAATCACAAGATAAAGTGTGAATTGAGAAATAAATAATGTTACACAGAAATCTTCTTTTAAGCCAATTAAATTGATGATCTGTTATACACCAAATGAAGCAGTAGGTGTTGATTCCTGAATAAAGAACACACCAAACTGATTTCCCACGATATCGGTCATATTACATAATTCTGATATAGATCTGACTATTATTTTGATCTATGTAATAGAATGCCCGGGTTTAGGCGAAATTATCACATCAGCTCGTGTTTCTGATGTCATGGGAACTGAATTTCTCGTACTTTTTAATGCTGATATTTCCTATAAGATTGTCTCATATCTGTTTTATATCAGAAAGTTGATTTTGAGTTTTTATTTTTGGTACAATTAACGCAATCAACAACTCACTCACTGTCTCTTTGTGAATAGTAACGTCTACAGAAGACAAACGTTTGATGGCAGCCGGAATATCACAGTTCAGACGGCCAAACACTTGTAATGAACTTCACAAGGACAAATGTTTCATCAAGATAAACAATAAACATTGTCATTTTCAATCAAAGCCATCTTCGATTTAAAAGGAAACCTTCTTACCGAGGTTAAAGAGCATGTCATCGCGTCCACGATCCCTATGGTATATTTGTCTGTAAATCAGTTTTCTCGTTAAACTGTCAAGAGCTAGGACGCCGCACGCCGGGTGCAGTACGTTTGATGGGTGCTCAACTCCGTCTAATCGATTTCTGATCACATCGTTAAAGATAATCAAATTCTGATAATAAAGATAGCGTCCCTCTACAGACGATAGCTCCAGAAACTTCACAGGGAGGGAGTAAAATGTGATAGTCTTGTTTATGGAGTGGTATTTTACTGTGTAAAATAAACTGCAATATCGGACAAAAACGCCCTTGTCTTTGATGAGGAAAGTTGATTCATAACGTTTAATATCGGGTTATGCGGCAATTTTCACTGGTCTGATAAGTAATAAACCCTTTTTTTTTAAATTTTATAAAGTTTTCAAATAGGGTTGTTTATCAGTGATATGAAGTTTGCGAAATAACAAAGATTAACTTTTTGAAAAATCTAATGTTAGGAACTACCATGGATATCAAAGATTTATTTGTGTAAGTAAATGTATAAGATTGTAGCCAAATTAATTGATTAAGTAAACGACAAAATTAACGATGTGGTAGACAGGTTTTTTTTTCGAACCATGCAGTATAACTGTTTTCAGCACCACTCCCTCGTCTCTGTGCTACATTTAAGAAATTCAAAGTTATCTATAACTCATAAAAAGATTTTACTTTCTCAAAACTTAGTGACACAGAGATTTTATATATGTTATTATAGACTACTCCTCCCTCTATATCCTTACATAGAGTTATCTGCCATTGATTAAGAAATTGTAATCAGAAGAAGGCAATAATCGTTCAAGTATCAGCAGCACATCTTAAACTATTAAATAAATAAAGACTACTAACCAAAATAAAAATTCTCAGGCTATCAAATAAAATTTGCAACCTCGATAAATAACGATTTATTTACATCTTAGAACTGCCATGGTGAGAAAGGGACGCCCAAGCATTCTGACGCTGTCACTGAGTTATGCTAGGGGTGTCAGACATTCGGAGGGTGGCAGTACAGCCCGAGCCAATGACACAGAAATATGTAAAGTGGTCAGTAATGTCAAAGGACAAACATTTTGTTCTGTTGGTCACTTAGTTCTAATGGAAAATGTGTTCCTCTGAGCGCGTGTCATGTGATTTATGAAATGTCCAACATTTCTTCTTCGACATGATTGTTGGGCTCTTGAACGAATTTAATGTCTATTTCAAATAAACCGGTAGTGAATTTATAAATTTGTTATACTATCTGTTGGTTTAAATTCAATTTCAAAAAGAGGAAAATATCCAAATATCTTGCGTATGAATTTTTACGGTGTAAATTTCCACAGACGTTAGATAAAATAAACTTCAAAAACTTATTTCAATCATTTGCGATCCATTTTTTTTTTTATATATTTGATACACCAGTATCCGACATGTTTTAAATCAACATGAATTTGTAAAAAAAAAAAAAAAAATGTACAGCTTATAACACAATGTATCTTTAATTAAAAGTTTCAGCTATAAGTATATCTATCTAGCATAAGTTCATAGCTGTAATCATTTCTTGACATATATGTTTTGATGTTGAAAAGCATGAATATTATCTACGTAAATGACTGTTTTATCTTAAGAACAGATATCCCTTTTAAACTTATACAGCGACATTTCTTTTTTTTTAATTTTGAAAGAAAAACTTAAGTATTAGACACGACAAATTGCACGCTGGTATATGATGGTTACTTTCCGCCCACCACCTCGTGGGAACCCAAGACAATCCACACCCAGGGGGTCAAAAGGTTTTGAGGGAGAACGGGAGGAATAAAATTGACGTGTGTCAAAGAAGATAGTATAGGTGTGCACGTGCGATGTAAATGCACGTGCAGAACATATGTAGTGTTAATCACCAGCGTATTTTACACTTTAAATAGCTAAAAAAAGTTTTAATTGGAAATTCAAGATGTTGGTGAAATTAATCGAATGTAAAAACAAGCAAAAGATAAACATTTGAAGAGGATTTCACGTGTTTTGGTTTGACCCTCCACGGCTCAGCAAAATCATCAGAGCGGTTTTTATACTTATCCACGCAGCTGCGAAATGTAATAAACCCCCAGAATCTACTAACAAGGTTTGGACCACTCGGAAATTAATTTTGTTTTCAAAGGTGAAATACACAACCGATACGATACACATTCAACCAATACAAAAAGCACTGACTGTATATATAAACGTGTTCTATTGGTTTGGAGGTGGGGTGGGCTTGCCTGGTGAGAAAAAATATAGCCAATTAATTTAAATAAAATTCGTGGAAAGACACTCAGAACTTCTTAGGGAAGATCCATTAAGTACCATGTATGATTACCGTCGTATTTATTTATTTTGCTCTAATTCTTGGGAGTGTTTTATTTATTTTGTCATGATAAGTCTTTGGCTAACTCCTGATCCCAAGTATTTTCTTTTAGATAAGATACTGGACAAGGACATTTAATTTCAATTTTCAAATTAAGATGCTAGAAAATCTCCAAAAATCTAGGAATAATAAAACCATTAAACGGATTCACCCACAAACTAGATGATCGCTATTAGGACATCGTTGAGAAATAATTTTATAAAAAGACGCTATCAATAAGAATGTTCCTTTCATTTCAGTTCACGGCCAATTTATTCTTGAGTCGTCAGCTAGGGCATTCTTTCGTGAGGAATTCAAATAAACTTTAAAAATAGAGATGCAGAATTATACATGTTAAACCGTTAGGACGTTCAATTTAGATGTCGAACAACATTTGATGCATGCCAAATTTATCTGTTTAATTAGAAGCGTCATTAGCGCAGAAATAAGCATGATAAGACCCTGCCACGAAGCAGACGTTTGCGTAAGGTTGACGGCCTGTAGTATATGGCAAAGAGCTTGGCACGCACGGGCCTCGAGCGAACAGAATTAATGGACTGGGGTTTAATGCATCATTCAATGTTAACTAGTCGTTAAGAATTTATAAAGCTAATCCAGGCTAATTTGCTTGGAAATCTGTTTGATAAAGCATAGATTTTGCCCGGACTTGGCATGCATATACCGTAAATGAAGACATGCTTCGACATTTAGAAGTCATTATAGAGCCTCTGACACGATAGCGGAGTAAGACACAGTTCAAGTTTTACACCATTTGTTATTGTAATATACCAATTCCCTTTTTTAGCAAGCACTTTCACTAATACAGAATTATGAAATTAATCAATTTAGAATCAAGTTTCCCTTTTCTACTGAAACATGTGCAAAACATAATTTACATGGTTATTTGCATGTTGAGAGAAATGAAACTGACAGGTACCATATGTTATCGTAATGAAGAACTTTTTTGACGACAATACGTCAAGGTTCTGTTTTATAAATCTGTTACAATCAGCAAAATGTCTAGAAAACATAGGGTCTCTCTCATCACAACATCTGCTGAATATCTTCGCATTGCAAATAGTAAACAAAATACCATTTCTAAAAGTCAAATTTGACAACAAGTCAAACTCTGCAGCATACTTTACCCATCTTTTCCATAACTGACTCTTGTAATGAAAACCATATGTGAACCCCGAACCCGAAGTCAACATTTGACCGGCGGATCCCTCCGCCGTCGGTTATTTGATGTTTGTGAAGTTTCCCTTTGTTCTCTGTATAACGGATTAAATCAAACGAAACGGAACTAATTCTGTTTGGCGATTGGGGATAATGACATAGAGTTTCTTTTTATCTGCTTTACACCAAACCCCATTTTGATACATTAGAGGCTAATACAAGAGAAACAAATAGTCCCTTGTGGAAGCGATACGCCTTATTCAGCCTTAACTTTTCACCTTTTCACAAATCTTTCCTCCAATTACAGAATAATGTGATTAGACTACTCAGTGTCTAATTATCAAATAGCACAACCGGAAATTAAAAGATTCTGAAAATATTAAATTTGAATCTGAAATAGCAAGTTCAGCTTTTTTTCCTTGACTAAAGTTACAGTAACTACCGGGAAATTGATAAGATACTGACGTCGTATATATAAGGAAAATATAATCTTCTGTAAATACACTCAAGACGCGTGGGGGTGCTTAAACTGTGGTTTTTCTGATGTCTTTATATTGTTTAAAAAGTAGAGTTAATATTAGAAATACTTCGCAACAGGAAGATGTTCAGTAGAATTGTGTCCGGAATATTTCCTGGACGTGCACTTTGCACATTCCTGTACAAGTATCAACAAAATGCTGGTGCATGCTTTTATCAACCAACTTTTTAACAACCTTCAATCTTTTTTTTTTTAAAATGTTTTCCCCAATTTTGTGGCAACTATTGTGTAATTTTGAAACATAGTATATGAAAATATTTCAAAAGAAA